GAATTAAAGCAATGTTTTCAAATTACAGCTTCATTATGCTCATCAAAATACTGGTGTCTTTTGGAAAACTTGAAACAAATTAATCCCACAATGAGTGATTTGTGAATGTGATGGTATTAAAAATGAACCGATAATAGCTAGTCTGTTTCTTTTTTATTGTAACTTGTGTTATTGTGTTTGAAAACTTGGCACAGACTTTCAAAGTGAAATAGATATACTTAGAGTTTTGTTTTAGATTTGTTTGCAGAGATGCATTTCTCACTTGTAACTTTATTTTCTCCTGGCCATCATTGCAGGTAAACAGCTTGATAAACAGCAACATCCTTCATTACCATGACAACAGCTCTGCCTCAAGAGAGTTCAAGTCCAGCCGACCGTTTTCACCAGAAATGTAAAAAAAGATTCATTTGTACATTTGCAGATTTTAAGGTGTCAAAATATCATTGTTTATCATTGACCTTTCCTTAAATTAAGGAGATATATTTTGAAAAATCTTTAGGTTATTTTTTTTTATTCAAAAACATGTGTATGGTTACATGTTTGACCAGTATCAAAAAGCAAAAACAGGAAGATTTTTGAAAGTTTGTTCTGAAAGAGAACATTTCAGATTTAAGTGATTTTGAAAGGTCATTATGGTGTTAACTTGGATATTTTTGTAGCCTTCGTGAGCTTTCCAAGTTTTTTACTCCAAGCGTTAGAACAGGAAAGTTGCCCATCTTGAGATGATGACAGAGAAAAAAAAACAGCAAGGTATATATGCACTCTTCCAACATTTTGGATCATTTCTAAATGTCATTCTTTTGTCTAATGAGTATCCAAATTTCCACCAGAGCAGTTGTTTTTTTTGTGAAATGCTGAATACAAAATCTAGTCCCATTGATAGCAAAAACAAAATAACCTCATAAGGAAAGGAGTAAGAAAACTTGGATAGGTTTTTAAGCTTTTGTTTTGCAAGCTCTGATGTGTAAATGTCTGTAATGTCTTATCTTCAAGCAAACTCAAATCGTTAATGCTCATTGGTTGATACCATTGTATGATATCATCTTACCTTGCA